AGTGCAACGAATAGTTCATTAATAATATGTAAAACAATTTACTTATATATAAGTAAACCATTAGAAGGGCTGGGCTTTCTTACCAAGAACAGAAGAGATTCAATGATAAGGCTTATTTATATATTATCACCGGTTAGCTTTAAATAAATGAGTATATTCGGGAAAGTAAGACTTTTCATGCTTTGTTTTTAGAATATTTATATTTTGCATCCATCATATATTATAGTGAAAAATATTCTAAACTCAAAAAAAAATTTCAAAGACCACGAAAATGTTATGATTCTTAGTATTTGTAGTAAATAGACAAAATTTCGTTTTTCCTCGATTATATCATTTGGTTTTTATTTATTTAACAAGATTAAAGATATCAAGGTGTTAAGTAAATTTCATTTTATATTATTGGTACAGAAAATTCATGGAAAATAGTGAAGAGGGCAACAGTATTTTCTAATATCTATAAATATAGCTTAAATAAAAATACATATGAAAACAAAACGACATTCTATAAAAGTCTCCTGATTATCAGGACTTTAAGGGTATAATAAAAGAGTTTTAAATAAAAAAAATTTTAAATAAAAAAGAGTCTTTTTGGGGAATGAATTTTTGGTTGATATCAAAAAAAAATTTTTTAACTTAACCCAGATTTTTATTAATATTTTGTCTAATGTCTGTACATACCCCTTAAAAATTCCATAAAACTAAATTCTATTAAAAACATTTTCATTTCTTGTTTTTTACTTCTTTGTTTTTTATATTATTATTTCTTGACTCCTTATGCGTTAATACTTAAAATTTTTTTATAATGAGGATATTAGATACAAAACAAAGAAATGGTACCTATGCATCTAAGCTATGGATTTACAAATTGTGTGCAGTTAACATAGACAATTTATTTTTTTTGTAAGGTTTTTTGATTTTCTCGATATACAAAGAGAAATTGCATGAACCCGACCCTAAAATGAACATCAACTATTTAATGCTAATGCAATGTCTGCAAAAATATTCTTCTTTTAAATTATATGGGAGAAAACTGACAAAAAAATTCCCATTAGACTAATATAGAACTCTATTAGTTTAATAATTTAAAAAATCAAATAATTTTATAAAAATTTAAAATTGCTAATAATTAATCGAAAGCTTTGAATTTCAATTAAAAAAAATTGATATACTGCAGCTCAACATTTTGATTAGAAAATTAGAAAATTAATTCAATTTCTCAAATTATTATGTTGAAATTTGCATAAACCTAGTACAAAATTTAAAATAGAATATCCTTTAGACTACCCTTTAAAATCTCAATTGAGCTTATTTAAAAAACGCTTCAAATTAATTATTATGATCTCTAGAAAATTGTTATATCAAAATTTTTATGAATTGCAGTATCAATATTACATATTTATAATTTGAACCCTTTTGAATAGACAGATTATAGCATTTATTAATAATTAAAAATCATTTTGAATAATCTACACATAATTAAATTAAATTAAGTTTTAATAAAAATTAAATTTAATCTACTATCTATATGTAATATGTAACTACCATACATGTATAATATTATTAATGGGGCCAATAATAATAATAATAATTGTTGCTCCCATAATTAATATAAAAATAGATTTTCTTCTCCACATGGATTATTTTGTAAATATTAAAAATTAAATCTTATTTTTATTATGATTTTAATAGTTTTAAAATTTTTTTAAATTTTAAAGAAAATAACAATATGTGTTTTCATTTAGTTCTAAATGTTTTACAAAATTTCAAAGTGATTTCAATTTAAATTAGAATATAATATGGAGAATTTAAATAGAAAATCCTTTTAAGTATCTATAAAATAAATTGCTAAAGTTATAATTAATATAAATATTTAATGTTGCATAAAAATTAATTATTTTTAATAGAAACTATAGATTTTTTTTTTTAAATTTGTAAATAAAATTAGTCTGTATAACAAACAACTTCATGTTATTAAGAATCTTTTGCACAGAGTTGAATAGTATTACTTAACAATTTATTTTGTAAATATTAAACCTTTTAATTTTTAATAATAAGTTAATTAATATTAATGTTATGTGCTATTTAATTACAATTGTAAATTAATATGGGCAATAATAGTACATAATTATCATAATAAAAATTTTAAATGTTCCAAAAATTTTGGATTTCCTCCTCCTCCTTTTCTCATTTCTTTTTATCTTCTTCCTTCACATTTTCCTTACAAAAATGTTGGTCATATTCTATTCTTTTTTAATTACTCCAAAAATTTTCTTTGTTCTGTAAATGTGAAACTTGCTGTAAAACTTCAGCAGCCTTAGGTATGATTTTCACATTATCCACTTTTTTAAAAATCCTAATGTAACATTATTAAAAATTTTCATGTTTGAATTTAATTACCTAAAAAAAATATATTTTAAATTATCAAATATAAGTTAATGTTTAAATATTATAAAAATTCTTACCCGTACTCTAATATTTCAGAAACTATTCAACTTCATTATTCACACACACGATAAAGTTTTACTGGTTTTACTTTGTTAAATTGTTAATTTTTCAATTTTTCATAATATCAAAAAAAAAAAAAAACTTTATTGAAAGTTGGTGGGAAAGGTTTATTTTTAATTTTTGTCTTTTTCCATTTGTTTTTGTTTGAATTGCAAATTTAAATTAAAATTTTTTAAATACTTTTCAAATGTGCTGAAAAATATAAAATAGAAAAAAATTTTTTTTTTTAATTTTTTAATAAATATGAAAAAAAGAAATTATAACTATGTAAATTATTTAAAAAATAAAATTACAATGGTTTAAAATAAAATTAGTTTTGGCGTGAAACATTTTATAAAAACTTCAGGTGACATACAAACTGTTAAATTGAATACATTCTGTACTCTATAAAATTATTAACGGTATAAACTTAACTAAATATAAACAGTTATTTTATGATGTTACTTGCTATTTGAAAACTAAGGTGAAGTGTTAATTGTAGCAAATTATTTTAAAATTAACTAAAAAACCAATTAATATTCAATTAATCAGATTAAAAAAACTGCATCTGCCATCCTAGTATATTTTATTTAGTAAAAAAATTTAATATGCTCACTTTATTCCTATAATCCTATTAATGCGACATCTAGATTTTTAAAAAAAAAACTATACTATTTTTCTAGTACGGGTCCTATTTGACAATTTTAAACCAAAATTTAATTTATTCTAGAACAGAACCATTAATTTCAATTTCAGATATTTCATAAATTAGTTTCATATCATATAATAAGTTTCATAAAATTAGTTCACAAACCATAAGGTAATTTAAGCTGCAACCTTATTTCACGTTGTCTAATAAAACAACCATAAATGAATTCCACAATATTCCGCTTATCTTAGCCTAAAACCACATTACGAATTACCTAGCTTCTTTAAATTCAATTTTTGTTAATTTTTTTACATACTTCCTATTTTTATTGCACCACATTCAAAATTTAGCAAAGACAACACTCAATATATTCGCCGTGTTTAATAAAAGTCTTGCCAAAGTTCCTTAATTTATAAAATACAATTGATTTTTTTTTTAATTTTAATGAAAAATAAGGAATTAAATAAATTAAAAAAATTAACCAAATGAGGATAAATGAAAAATATATGTACTTTTGAATTGCATTAAAAAAATCATTAAAATTTTGGCTAAACCCAATTTCGTTTATGTTTCGTGTAATTTTATGTAAAATATTAATTTTAATCTTAAGAATTTCCAACTAGAATATAAATTTTTCAAAATTCTTTAGGAAATTCATCCGCCTAAACATCAATTTGTTTAAGTAAATAATATGGTTGATCAATAATATTAATACTATTACATAGCAATAGCAGTAGGTGAGAATTTTGAAATTAAATTCAAATCCTTAGATCCAAGCCTATTTGGTTCTAATTCTACCCAAAATAATTACCGATATTTCCTAATTCCTCCCTAACAATAACTGAGTTTGTCGCTTCAATTTATTTTTAATAAAATTTATTTTAAGATTCTATAATAAAAATATCAATACCAATTAAATTTAATATTGTTTTATGATAACCTAATTGAAGCGCTATAACCAACATACTTTAGAAAAGAATGTAGGCACCTACCCTTGCTATTTCAGTAGCAAGCTCTAGTTTTGTGTAGAGAAGTTCGATTTGTTACACTTTATTTGGTATTAAGAGCTTCTGTTCGAATATTATTAGTTATTATTGCAAAATAACAGAAACCTACATAAGCTAAAGTATTTTATAAGTAATTATTAACTATTATATAATATGTAAAGATATGTTGCATTTGGTGGTTAAATTACAGGACTACGTTATCTCTTTTTATATTACAGAAATTCCAAATGTGTTAAAATCTATAATTTGTTGTGTTAGCTAATAAGTTTTGTAAATTTTCGACATCAAATATTATTTATATCTGCTTTCATTATCTTTAAAATGTTATAAAGACGTGGGAAGGTGAATGCATATTATCATATTGAAAACATTTCATGTTCCTCGATAGTTGGGTACTACTACTATGAACATATCTAGCTACATATGAGAACATCGCTTTAACACTTCATCCCTGATTTTTTTCCAAAGTATTACTCTTTTTTGTATTTCTGGTTGGTAGGTTATTCTTATTTATTTCTATGAAATTTTATAGAAATTTGTGTTAAATTTTTATACCTAAAAAGTAAAAATCCTTTTAGTTCCACTCAAATATCCTTAAAAAAGAAATAGTAAAATTTTTTTAACCATATCAGCATCTTTCCAGAAACCTTGGAAAAGATTTCATCTTCTATTCTATAAATAGATAATTGTCCTATTAAAATTTATTTTAATATTAGTTTTGGCTAACAATTGGTGGTACAGAAAAAAAAAATTTAAATTTGATCAATACTCACTAACACTTTTTAAGGAAAAAATTTTATATTTCATTTTCATAGCAATAAGGTTAAATCTGACAAGTATAGAGTTTTGCTTCACAACGAATACCTCATTCAGTTTGTAGTTGTATTCCTAGTGGGCATCATCTATCTATTCTTTAAATGGGTATGTTTCTATAATACATACTTTAAATATTTTCACAATTTCTTTTGAAAATATTAATTTTTTTTATTTCAACTTCTTATTCTCTTGTAACAATTTTTATTCGTTACAATTTATTTAAAATCTTCTTTAATTTTAGTGCATCACAAATAATAAAATTGCCGATAACAAATCAAATATGGTTGAATTAAGTTTTATTGAAAACATCCAAAATGTTTGCCGATTGTGTTTGCGGTCCGAAGAAAATATGCAAGAAATATTTGAATGTACAGAGTTTGATAGAATTCCATTAATTGAAAGGATTTTCTTGTATTATCAAGTAAAAGTAAGTTTTTATATTTGAATATTTAATTAAACATGGATACTTAATTTATTAAGTATTATTAAAATTTAGAAAAGAAGGGAAGAGGGAAAGGTGAAAATAATTTTACTGCGCCATTTTCAAGTATTTTTCCAGTTCAGTATAGTAGCTGTCAGTTGTCAAAATTGATGTTTAAGTTAACAGTGCTACCATTATTTTTAATTTTGAAAATTTTCCCTGTTCACAATCGAGAAAAAACCAACCTGATAATCTTTAGCTACTAGTAATCAAATAAGTGGAAAAATAGAATTGATTTTTCCATTCAAGAGTTCACAATTCAAAATGGAAATATTTAAGTGAATTGATTTTATTTTTATACAACAAATGTGATAATGATGCTAGTCAACACTAAGGTGTAGTATTAGTTTTGATGGCATTTCGAAGAAATATTTCACATATTAAAGTGGAATATTTTTTTATTTAAGAGTTTTAATAGATTTGTCGAATTGAAAATTGTATTAACACATTTAGAACACTGGCTGATGTATTAATGGTGTAAGATAAAAACTTAATAAAATAATTTTTCTTTGTTTTACATATACATACATACATATGAATTAATACTGGATTTATTCGTTCTTCTTACTTATATGGAAATGTTATTGGTTGGCCTACTTATTATTGTGAATGAAAATTTCAAATTTTTTACATTTTTCTCTTTCCAAAAACATTCAATCAATTGCTACAAATGACGTAATACATTATTATTTTATTTCAATTCTTTTGAAACTTAACAAACTACATGTTGAACTTTCAATCTACATTGTCGATCAACAAACATAGCTTAATTTTCGAACATTTATTTTTGTTGTTTTCTTTTTGCTGCACTGGCAGCTTTCACAATAAAAAAAAACAAAATTTGACACTAGATGACATTAATTATAATTATCCGAAATTGTTTTGTTATTTGTTTATGTTTTTAGATTGCTCGGGAAGATGGTTTACCAAACAAAATTTGTCAGGATTGTTTTAATTTTACAGAGACATTCACTAGTTACTATAACAGTGTTCAAAAATGTGAAGCTAAACTACAAGCTTTAATTTGCACTGCTGGAGCGTTAGGTACAAAAATTCAACATAATAAATCTCAAGGATCTGATTCTGGTGGAAAATCAAATAGTAATTATACAGAGATATTACCAGATGACGATTGTGAAGTGGTTGTGATTGATCCAAATCAGGACTATGAAAGTTCTGATGATAGTTTTTCAGAAAGTGAATATACAACACCAACTTCACGGAGTACACCACAACCCGTGCAAGTGTCTAACACTGAACCTGTGACAAGAGTAGATACAATAGTTGAAGTCTCTAATAACAATACAAATAATAATGACCATGACATTGAGGCTATCGATGTAGAATTAGAAAACCGTAATGCATTCCTGTGTCAATATTGTGATATGGCTTTTATTGGTATATTTTCAAATTATTAAAAAGAAATGAAATTTAAATTTGTTTTTAGGAGCAACTGAATGTGCAGAACATGAAAGGCATCATGATGAAAATGCTCCTCATACATGTACATATTGTGCATTTAGGTGTCCTGACAGGCAAACATTAATTAATCATGTCAAAGATAATCATAATGACAAACCTTACATCTGTGTTGTTTGTAGTAAAGGTTTTGGTCGACGTTCTGATCTCAAGAAGCATGCAATTGTTCATACTGGTATAAGACCGTTCTCATGTTCAGTTTGTAGTAAAAGTTTTTCAAGGAACACCAATTTAACAAAGCATATGCGAATACATACCGGTCTTAAACCATTCGTTTGTCAAAAATGCCCAAGATCTTTCACTTCGAGTGCCGAATTAGAAAAGCATCAACGAATACACAATGGTATTGATAAACCGTTTAAATGTCAAAAATGTGATGCTAGCTTTAATCGCAAAGATAAATTACAAAGTCATCTCAAAATGCATCTAAAAAAAGAAGCTGCCGATGCTATCAACATAAGACTAAATCAAAGCGATCCTGGACAATTCGGAAATATTTCATCAATAAATAGGCCGATTAGTCTTTCAAATTTTGGTAACGATATGAATGTTTCTCAAATTAATAACAGTAATATGCTAATTAAAGACGGCATTGATTTATTAAATGAAAATATGGTAGTTTCGCTCGATCAATTCAATAATAGAAATAATATTAATACAAATTCCATTATGAACACAAATCTTAATAATTTGGGTATGAATTATGAAAATCGAACGAATGATTTCTTACACCAACAACAACAGCATTTTCAAAATAAATTGCCATTTGCGCAACAACAGCAATTCTTATTATCTGGCAATCAATTGCAACATTCCCACATGCAACAAGTTACAGATCTTCAGCATATACAACCAATATCAATTGGAAATATAATGATGCCACCTCCACCTCCAATACAGAATATTGTTAACATGAATCTTGGCTCACAATATAAAATTCAACTTCCTCCACAACAGCAGCAGCAACCGAAAATAAAAACTGAGCCTATTGAAAAATCAAAGCGTAGTGGCATTCACATTTGCTCAATATGTACCAAAGCTTTTACTAGAAAAAGAGAACTTCAGCGTCATGTTGTTATTCATTCAGGACAGAAACCGTTTGCATGCATTTTTTGTGGCAAACGTTTTAATAGGAAGGATAAGGTTGAAGATTAAATAATTTTATTTTGTACATCCGTACTTACATATATTTTTCTTTTCACATTTTAGCTGCTGCGTCATGAAAAAATTCATCGTGACGGTAAATTTCCATGTCCAAAATGCAAACTTGATTTTGCGAAGCAAGAAACTTTAGATATCCATTTACAATTACATGAAAAAGTTGAAAGAGCATCTCAACCACAACCTCCACCGGAACCCCAAGAACAGGCACAACCTAAAATACCAAATTTTCTACAAAGTCTTCAAGTTGGTGTTACACCACAATTGAATTTTTATAGTGATACAATATGATTAAAATATGGACATTTATTACAATGAAAATGGAGTAGATAAATACAATTTCTGACATAATAGTTAATTAATATCATAATAACTTCAACCCATATATTTCAATTATATGTGAAAAGGAATTTAACAGTATTGGTATTTATGTGTGAATATTCAATAAAATTAAGAACTGGAAATATGCACATATTCCAGATTTATTTAAATTATATTTTGGTTAATTTATTTTGGAGATCTAGACTGATATGGAATAACTTGTGTAAGATTTGTCAATTAGTTAATTGTTTTAATTAATTGCATAATAATAAATACTTAAAAAACTTAATAGTTAAATAATTATCATAAAATGTACATTAAGCAAACCTTTTAACGAAAATATATACATCTTTAAGATTAATTAAATTTCATTGTATTTTATATTACTAATAATGGTATAATATGAAGAATCTTTCGAGCATTTGAATGCTTAAAGAAAATAAAGTTTAAGTTTTGATTTTGCTCTAAATGAAGGTGAAATGTTAGTTGCCTACCTTAAATTCTTGATTAATAAATTGGTAATAATTTTTAATTCATTTAACTAAAAACTGTAATGAGCGTTTGCAATTCCATTTTCGTTCACATTTATTTAGAACATTTACTAATTTCTCTAATAATCGTATATAAATCTCAAATGTATTAATGAACAAATATCTAAGTTAGATTAACTAGTTGAATTTTATCGCTTTTATTATTCTCTTTTGTTATTGACATTTACAACTACTATATTAATAACAGCTATAACTACGCCAACTCACACTAAGCATACGTTATTAAAGAGGTAATTTTTTGTATTGTGGTCCATATTTTCAATAGTGGATATTAATGAATAGCATAATACAACAATATTTTTAATATCATGTTCAAATAAATATCTCCTAAGTGTATATGTAAATTATAAATAGTTTCATAAAAGGTCATATGGGGTCACAAAAGTGTTAATTATTACGCGTAAATACTGCTTAAAATTTTTAATAACAATAGGTAAAAATGTTATTTTAAATAATTAGAGAATTTTTAAAGTTTACGCTAGATGTTATTTACCTAAGATTAATAAATTTATTGTTTTCGTTTGTTGTCTCAAGGTCCATTAAGAGTGGGGATTCAATTGATATTATGCAAATGATCTGTTTCTAGAAATAAGTAACAATTTAACTTTTGTATCCCCTTAAAAAAATTAATATAAAATACAGACTGGTGGCTAACAATTTTGTTTTATTTGTGTAAATTAATTTTATTTTACTCAAATTTCATTCAAATGCATTTATAAAATAACTACAATGTGATTTCAAACAATTTTTGATTTGAAGGCAATATTATTTTATTTAACATTTTATTTCAATTTCACTTATAAATAAATTTTTAATTATATTATATAGATGAACATAGTTTATTAACGTCTGCAATGCATTGTTCATAAATGTACATATTATGTACATGAATATTTATTGTGGTGGTGCATTACCTAAACCAACATAATGTGGATTACGTTCACGATCATCAATTTTAATTGAATAACCACCAATTAATGAACTTTTAACATCAGCAACACCATCAGCATTAAATTGTGGTCCTTCACCAATTTTTTCTGCTTGTTCTTTTACAATTCTATAACCATTTTCATCGGCAATATAATGTACGGTACGATGAAAGAAACCATCACTATAAGAATACATACCAGTTACTTTAAGACCATCACGTTGTTCTGTTCTTGTATGACTATGATCATTGATTTCATCTTGTACAGATGAATCAAATTGATAATGTGCATGTTGTGCTTGTTGTTTATTCAATTCTTCATAATCAATTCCAATATTATTAATTATTGGGCGACGTGTTGTTGTTGTTGTTGTTCTTATTGTTGGCTGTGGTACAAATTCAGAACGTCCTAAATTATTTTGATCATCAGCTGTTGCAAATGGATCTTGTGGTGCATATCTAATATGTTCACTATCAGATATTGGATTTTGTTGTTCTAATGTACGAATTGAATTTGCTTGTGGTTGTTGTCCACCAACAACACTATTTAATGAATAAATTTTTTTATTTTTAATCTGAAATGAGAATTTAAAAAAAAAATTTTTAATTATTTTTCAAAAAAAATTTTTATCAAGGATATTTTTGCAATTATACATTGTGTTCAATACAACTGGTATACAGGTGTACTAAATATTATCTACTATCAACTTTATCAAAAAATAAGAAAACCAGCAAAACAACAAAAAATATTTATTATCAATATCGTAAAAAAAATTTCAAAAGATATCAGATAAAACCTATCAGGTTGTCAGATTCATTTAGTTGGGCGAGAAATGTTTTTTAACTAAAGAAAATATATATAAAAAAAAATATTGAATTATTAATTAATTAAAACAGTTAAGTAAAAACATCTTTGTACACAATACCAATTATATACAACTAAATATACAATATACATACATACATAATACACATTCATATAAACGCTTATATCTTTACCTACATTGTATATACACCATTCTAAAAAAAAAACTATTTATGTAAATTTAAAAAAAACTTCATCGTGGTCAGTTTAAAAATAAGCGAGTATATCAGTATAGCAATTAAATTTAGTCGCGTGTTCATAATATGCACATTTATGTATAGTGTATGTATATGTACAACTACACAAACGATAAAATATTATAAGATGACCGGTAAAAATAACAAAAAGGCAAACAAATCTAAAATTGCTGTCTTATATGTTGTATGTATATATGAATGGTGTACACATATGACTATAAAGGAACTGTAGTCGCCGCAACTCGCAACTAATTTATGCAAAATCGATAGTAAATATTATTAAAAAACAGAAAAAGATTAAAAAGTAAAAAAAAAAAAAAAACACATTTTTTTCTCGTTTATCTTATCAAATTATATCGAACAAGAGAGATCAAATCGATTAAGTCGATTATTTATAACTGACTAACTTTTATAAATCATTCTTCACGGTGCTTCTTATTAATTTTTGCTGTTTCTGATTACTAGTCACTATAGATTCACATTTACATTAATTTTCTTATTTAACAGGAGTAGTACTACAATGTTTTTTTCCGAATTATAGAGAAAGTAAATTTTTATGAAAAATTTTAAGATATTGTAGGGGAGGGGGGAAATAAGTACAAATAGTGTGCAGTAATATTAAGCCTAGAACTTTGTAAACTAAACAACTATCAAAACTAATCATCTATTAAAAGCAAATAATAAATTTACTGAAAAAAGTACATTTTTATATTTAGGTGCAGATGTACATACCCTACATACTTGGATTTACCTTATTCTTCATAAATTATTTTGCATTAAAAATTATTTGCTTTATTTTTCTTTTGCATTATTTCATTGGCACAACAGAAATTAGTTTTATCACATATTATTTAAAAATTTAAACCCAAGCAGTACAAACTATTGTACATTTGTACGTACAGATTGAGTTAGAAAAAATATATTCTAATAATATAACAAAACAATTAAATTAATAAATAAATTAAAATAAATAAAAAAGAAAACAAACAACAGAGAGAACAAAACTTTCATAACAGTGTTTGTCACAAATTAATCAAAATGCAAAGTTTGTTATAAAAAAAAAAACAAAAAAATAAATTAAAAGAAAAAGAAATAAAAGCAAAAAATGACAAAGAAAGTAAAATAAAAAAGAAAAGGCAAAAAAATATTAAAGCGGCGGATTCCAGAAGCAATAATTTGTTATTGGAATTTATTTTTTATTTTCAGTTGTACTGAGCTGCCGTTTTACAGAGTACACAGAGTAGTTGATTTCACAGAGTAGTTGATTTTTCGGAAATTTTTTAAAACCCGTTATTCGAATACTAAAAATACTATACTATTCTATACCAATTCTTGCACTTCATTAATATTCTCAATGAATATTTTAACATATAGGTAAATACGTTTATCTAAGAGTTACAAAATGATAAAATCAATTAGAAACTAATTTGCATATTAAAATTCGAGAGATAAAATATGGTGCCTTAAAGCGAAGCAATTTTGTGATGGAACAAACCTCAAAACATGTTCCAATTTTTCCTACATAGGCTGAGATATTAAATATTTTATGGTTATAATGGTATCTGCAATAAAATTATACAAAAATAAAAACCAAACTATTTTATTATTGGTAGTTTATTTTCAGTTGAAAATTCTCTCAAACTAGAAATTTCTCTACAAGCCCAGAAACATACATATTTAAAAATTATAAATATAATTTTCTTTATTTTTCAGGAATTATAGTAAAGGTGAGAAAAATTGATACAGAGTACGGAAATTCGCCTATTAACATGTTATACGTTTGGGGATTGAATTAAATTTTTGTTTGAAATTTACAGCTTAAATTTAGTGAATTATAAAATTTTTATTGCATATTTATATTTTTTCATATATAATCTCATTAAAAATGTATTTATCTTAGTATATATCCCATAATTTACTAAATCGAAGATTTTTATTGGGTAGTAGAGCACCAGAGTACACGAAAATAAAGAGCCCAAACGACAACCCTATTATACCTATACTACATATGTAGTTATACGGTAACATACTACTGTTTAATAGTGTTTATTGAATTAATAATTTTGTTGTTGATATTTATGCATAATATTATTTATGCATAATATGTAAAATATCTACACTTAAAGTACCTTACATATTATTTGTTTGCATATGTTTGTTTATACATATTGTATGTATATAACTTTTTTTTTGTTCCTACTTTTTATTTCACATTCTCTTCAAGGTATGGTCAAAAGATAAGTGACTTTTAAATACCAGGTTCTCAGATTTGTTCAGAAAGTAAAAACAAAATGATGAGAGTAGCATTAAAAAAAAAAAAATTATTAATAAAAAAAAATTTTTTTAAAGTTAACAGCTGTTTATTATCTTTTTGTTTTTGTTTTCCATTTTAAAACAAAATAAAAACACTTGTTCGCTGGTTAAAAATGAAGATACACCGCTATTAATAACTATTTAATATTTTTTTTTTACAATACACTTGGTATATATAAATTAATAAATAACTAACAGAGCGTAATGTATGCTAACAATGTTATGTAGATATACATATATGTACATATACTCATACATAGATAATGTATTTAGATAAATGCAATATATGAACCTGTAAAGAATTTATTTAAGTACCTACCATACAATGTAAACTCAAAATTGTAGAATATGCATGGGCATAATACCTATAGGCGCACAACAATGTGCTAAAAACATAAAAAATGCTTTGATTTGCTATATATGTAGGTATGAGCTGAGCATATACGTGCCTACATACATTATGTACATACATATGTAATTTTTCTCACATCACTGCTGCTATTATCATTCTTGTTTTTGTCGTTGCATCATAACCATAAAACTCAATACTATCATGATTATTATTATCGTATAATCAATGGTAGCGCCAAGCCACTAATATTTAACAATTTTATAAATTTAAAATTTATCATAATAATAAAAAATTCTTTAATGAAAGGAAAAAAAAACAAAGCAACAAAAAAGTAGAAAAGCTAAATCAAAAGTTGTTTTTTTTTTAACATCCCGTTTATATAAAATGAATTAAGCAGGAAAAGCAGACACAAAAAGAAGTTGTATAGGCAAAAAAAATGAAAAAAAAAATTATTGCATTCTTAAGTTTTCAGTCTCATTTAATTTAAAATTTAAAAAAAAAAAATTTTTTTTTGTAGTTAAAAAATATTTAATACCATCGTCATGGCTGAGCTATCATAATTCTATTCACTATTGTGTTTGATAACAGTAATTTTACCATCACACAACTTACACAATATAAATGTGTGTAAGTTAATATTACAACATAATATGCACCTACATACATGGGAATATTTTCTGTAAATACAAAATAAGTATGGGCTGAACAAAAGGTATAAATAATTGACACAGATTTCTGCAGGAATTATTCAGTTTTTGTACAAGTAAGTAAATTATAGAAAAATACTTGATGTGATAACCGATCGCTAATCAAGTTTATTGAACAAGTTAACCGGTCTCTAACAAAGTATACTTCCTGGTTTAGCGAAAGTGTTGCATCATATTATGTGATAATTGAAACATTTTTTCAATTCTTAAGGACGCTACAGTAAGCTTGTAGTTAACATATGTATCTAGAAAAATGAAAATTTAATGTGTTTTGAATTCTTAGTATAGGTTCCCTTTATGACAAAATCTAAATTTCCTGGCAAGGCTACGTACAAAGTAAACTTCTTTTTTGGCTATGAACAAAGTGATCTTTGATATGAATTTTCATCAAAATCAGTTTAGCCAAAATTGTGATACAAAAAATTGTGCACACATACAAACCGACAGACCGTTGTTAAAAATAGTTTATTCACATTTTCCTATCATAGAGAAAACCATTTCCGCTATAAACTCGACATGGGAAATTTGATGCCATCACATACATACCTTCATTTATTTATTGCAGTCAGTAAAAATCAAAAAATCTTAAAAAACCAATTGTCTAATTTAAAATTTTGTCTAAAATAATATAGAAATTTTTTTTAAATTCCCATAATAAGTAGCTACTTAAACTCTCCAATAATTTGTTGAAAATGTAAATATGTATGTATATGTATGTATATGTATATGTATGAAGTTATTTGTGAAGTCTCCCATAAAGTTTTTAGATAAGACAGTAGACCAAGAACTGGTTTCTTTTTATAAAAATTTATATCGAAATACGTCTTACATTTTATGTATATTAATTATAACAATATTCTAATCTACATTTGAAAAATTAGAAAAGTTAAAGTATAGAAAAAAATTACACACCTACATGTATAACCTTACGACAAAAGGGTATTAACTCAAAAAATTAATTTCGACAAAACTTTTAATTTATAACAACAGTAGAATACTTTTATTTAACAATATGCTGAATAAATTAAAATAGGCAACAAAATAACTTTTAATTTAATATTTTCATGAGAAAATATATGAATTACGAACCTGCAACTGTAAAACCGATAATATTATATAATTCGAGGCATTTAACAATGTTTTAAACTTATTTGAAGTTGTTATCAGTGTTAAAACTTGAGAAATCGATTTTCTTGAATTAATATACTTTAACTGCAGGAGTGTGGTATTTAAGCGTATACCGTTACCCGTACATAGCCCAAATATAATTCGAGAATCTCAATATTAATAAAAATTCAATTTTTCAAAATATAAGAGAACAGAATATTTTACAAATGTCATTAACTCTTTACCATTGTAATAAATTTCCATTAGGCTTGGAAAAAAATGTAGTAATCATTGATCCAGGTAGCGGTCGTGATCTGTTATACACTTTACAGTTCAAGTTAAATGGAAATATATTATAATTAAGTATAGGTAATTATTATAAAAATAAAGGTTTACTATTGGCTGAAAGTATTATTAAATATACAAGACTATTATAACAATTTTAATGTTTTTTTAATAGGTCACCAAATAAATTAACAGACATTAAATAATTTTCTTGGAACTGTTACAAAATATTGAATTGAGTTAAATTTCAAAAACAATAGCTCTACAGCCAGATACTATGTATGTATTTATTTCACAAAAAGCAAATATGTACAATTATGCAGTAAAATTATGTAGTAAAACTCAACAGCAGAGCAAGAATATAACAAAATTATGTAAATAATAAATGTACACTACACAGTTTTGTAACACTAAAAAAATATCACTTACATATTATTTGTATTGACGGTAAATAGTATGGTTTTGTGTTGACGGCATTATATACATACATACATACATAATATACATATTATGCGCATACATGTAGGTATTGAATGGGAACATATTTTATGTAAATTTTTAATAGAAAGTAAATAAATTTAAAAAACCATAAAAGAACAAAAAAACAAAAAATTAACATTAACAATAAAAAATTTAATTTATTTTTATTTTTAAATGAGAAACGATTTGAATAAAATTTTTGTTAGAATTATTTTTATTTTATGTATGTATGTAAGTATATTTACACATATGAATATGCATAAGTATGAATGTATTTAATAAATATATGAATACAGGTACGTAACAATACAATATTAAACAATAAATAAACAAAAAGTTATTCCTACCTGAAATATTAAATTGTAGACTTAGCCGTTTAACAATGAAGTAGATTCAGTTTATGAGTTCATATAACGTCAATGGAATTGGCTATATTAATATTATGTTTATTTTATAAACAAGCAGGTCCATATATAATAATATGTAGGTAGAATACATGATATTTCTGCCAAAAAATCAATTTTCGCAACACCCGGCTTTGAAAAAAAAAATGTTTTTCATATATTATAAACCGTTATCTTTGAATGCAGTAGTTCCATAACTTTATCAAAATTGTAATAATACTTTTCTAATACATAATTTAGCAATTATAATACATTAGCTTAATTATGTATTAATACCGTTAACTATACTGTAATTTTCGATAATCTTTTGGTATTTTATATTGAAAACTTTATATATTTTGACCCACAAGATTTCTGCGTCCATTACTAAAATTAGTCGGATTTTAAATTTATTAACTGCTTACAGTTTTCAAATAAATAAAGTGCCCCCATTACCCTGTAATTTTTTACGCATTGCATTATCTATACCTTACATTTTTAATGTACAAATAAAGCCGGACAACTAAAACTTAAATGAATTTGTAATCAACGATTTTGTTATTTTAATAAAATAATTGTAAAATTATTTTAATATTAAATGTAAAAATAAATATGTAAATATAACAATTTAATTTTTTAATTTAAATTGACAATGACATATCGTGAGTTTTGACATTCACACTTACATATTATATCACATAATAGCTATTGTCTGTTGACTATATTAATTCACTTAAAAAGAAAGTACATAATATGAACAATTGTATATTTTCTGTTTAAAAATGTTGAGATAATAATATACATATGTATCTGTGGTTCTAAAGAAAAACTGAATAAATCAATAAAAACAAATATTTTAAGTAAATAAAAGAATTTTTACTACTTCGTCTAAGAATTATAGTCCTTAAAGTGCACACGCAGAGAAGTACTGAGTGGCTTCTTCTACCGCTGCATAGTATAGTCGAGCATAGAAATAATAAAATACCGTTAAAAGTAACCGTTATCTTAAACCCATTTTTCTTTAAAATTTCTGATTTCGTTTTCCTTCTAGACTCCACGTTGTAAAAGTCTGAAATTTTAGCAGCTTTTAAATTCTAGTAAATACTTTATTCAATTCGTAGATTTTTTTTTCTATTCCAATTGCTCTCAAGTTATCGCCTCTAAAATTTGTAAAATTTGAATTTTCGGCACTCTATATTTCCGAAACTGCAATGTTTTCCAAATATCTATAAATGCAGATGTTAACTACTTATCATTTAAATTTTTTCTTTGTCTGATCCTAAATTTATGCAATAAATCGATATGAATAAAAGTAATTTAAACAATTTGTAGTAGACTGTTATTAAAAGTAGTATGTGTTTTCACTTGTTCAATAATTTTCACTCAGTTTGATACAATTTTATTATACTTTTACACGTAAGTTCAAAATTACATAAGTGGGGTACCTTTAATAAATTAATTTTATAACAGTTGTAAGTTAAACTATAGGAAATTCGAATTTGTAATAAAATAAATTTGCCGAATTCAATTTAGGGTATTGTTGATTGTTGACATAGGTGGTATCTATAAATATACACATTTTACAGTTAACTATAAATTTGTATATAGGAATTGTAGTATAAACATCGATGTATCGAAATATCGATGCATTAATTGCAGATCTTAACAATCTTTATAAAATATCTTCAGGTACTAATTATTATAAAATCATGAAGTTGCATGCATCGATATTTGATATTACTTCAATACATTATGTTTGAATGTATGTGAAATCCAAAATAATACATAATTTTGTTTACCTATTCTTTCTAAAATTTCTCTCTGCGTATTATTGACTTCTTATCTTTTTTCTATTTATATAGGTACATGGGTACGTATAACAAAAGATAATATTATTGTTTTGTTATGTATTTTTAATGTCAACAACAATATGAAATATAAATTGATATATAATGTACCTACATATTATATGTATATAAACTTAAATATATATACATATATAATTTCAAAGCCGGGCTTTTACATCTAAAAAATATTCAAGTTTCTGTTTTTCTTTTGCTATATAAATTAGTCTTTTCTTGAATCTCAAACTGATCTGTTGTGTTCTCGGAAGATACGCGAATAAAAGAGTATAAGAGAAAAATTGTATTTTTTTCATTTGATGCATAATGGGTAGGATATTTAAATTTAATTTTTTTTTAACAAAATAAGTGTTATATTTTATTTAATTATAATATAGCGTGCATTAGAAGTGTTTTAAATAATTACGATTTCGATGGCGACTAGCAATATAATATTAATTAAAAAAAATATTTAATGCGAATAATTATTTTAATTATATTTTTAAGTATAATGATTTCTTTAAAAATTATCAATTATTTGAAAAATTATATGTGTAATAATTAAAATAATTAAATTTGTGTGAATAATAATTTAAAAAATAATTGATATTTTATTGTTTTACTAGTATAATTTTTAAATGCCATTAAATAAATTTTGAAATAAATTCGTTTAAATTTTTAATTTAATTCCGAATATAGATTTTTCATGCAGATTATTATAAGAACTATTATAAAAAAAAACTGGTTTTGTTATACATATATACATAATTAAAATGAAGTTTATTCAAATTAAAATGAAATTTATATTCAAATTAGACTAGAATTTTGTTCTCTAATCCTGTGGTAATAAAAAACTCGAATCGAAAAGAAGTTCTTTAACCGTAATAAAATTTTATTAAATCAAATTCTCTAATTTTATCCACTTATATGTTTCTGCATAATATTAGCTGTGGAATAGTTAATTGTTTTCAGTAGACATGATTTTGTAATTTAAAGTTTATGATAAATTTCATTCGAATGAGGTTATTTCCGATCAATATCCGTTCAAATGCAGATATTATTGTTAAAATTAAATAATTTCAATTGCGTCAAACTATTATAGATCGAACAATTTGATTTTAATTTATAACTAACAATATTAAAGATATTTGGAAAGGTATAGGTTTAGGAAATCTGTAATAACATTGAATTGAAATTTAAGAGTACATTGTAGCAGAAATTGAAAATCCCTGTTTGTTAAACTTTAGTCTATTTCCAAAATCTTGCACAATTAGTATGTTGCAAATGAAATGGATAATTGAATTTAGTTTACATTTTTATTAACAAACTTGCAATATACCTCCATATTTTACAAAATTATTTGTTGCCAATCTGTTTTCATCTAATAATATTATGGCGTATAATTCGAAATTGATCTTATGAACTACGTAACGTACTATCCAGTTAAAGCGCATTTAATAATAATCTTTAATATTTTAAAATTCGCTTGATTTTTAATTTTTAATAATTTTATAAAGGGCAACCAGAAATTCCAATATAATTTTTCGGACAATGTTTAAATTTGCTTTCTTCTTTACATTAATTTAAAAAAATTTAATCAATAGCGCGTGTGTATATGTGTATGTATCTGGGAATAAAAAATTAAATTATTGTTTTTTTTTTGTTATTGTATATTTTGGATCGTTGAAAGGAGCCCATCAAATTAAATTAATTAAAAAAAAAGTTGCTTTTTTCTTTTCTTTTTATATTTTTTTTTTTTCATAGTGCTAGAGAGTTTCAATAACAATTTTATTATTAATGTAACAAAAAGTTCAAAACTGTTTTTAAAACAATTTTTTTTTTTATTTATTAATCGGGTCAATAGATGGCATACATTACATTTATACATATATATTAGGTATGTATGTACATAAAATTCACATTTTAACCTTCAAAATTGTTTTTTATTCGCAAAAATAAAAGTATTAATTATAATCATAAAAGTTATTGGGAATTTTTTATTACAATACACCATATACATATAGTTATATACAACATGTGTGTATATATATGAATATTGTATTGTATGTATTATAGTTAAATTGTTAAATGTATGTAATAATGTATTTAATTATGAATGTACTTATGAATTATATTCACATATAAATGCATATTGTCTTATTAAAAGGTTAAATGGTTGAAATATGCAACAGATTAAAAATTTTATTGTATGTAGGAAGAATAGATTAACAGTTTTATAAAAAAGGAAAAATTCTACGGAAAATTTAATTTTTTTTTTTTGTTTTTTTATATATTGGAAATTATTATAATCAATAATATGCATTTTATGTAAAATATTAAAATTAATTTTTTTGATTTTTATTGGATGCAATTAAAGAATCGTATATAATAGGGTCAAATTTAATGACAATATAAGAATATTTATTATTAAAATGGGCGCATTTATTAATACACGATTTTAAATTTTTAAGTGCTGTTTTGAATCTTGATTATATTTTACTCTGCATCATCTTGATTGTTATTACAGCCCAAATCTAAAGGTAGCTTGTGGATCAACTGAATTCAGTATTATTTTTCATACACCGTCATACGCAAATTGAGTCGTACATCACAAGCAATGAGAAAATTTTTTGATTTGAATATTCCTATAATTGCGTTTAATACGTCGTGTATTTTAAAATCAATTTCCCTGAATACGAGTACAATTTTAAATCAATTAATTTTAAATTTATAATATATTTACACTATCATCTTATTCATTAGTTAATCAGTTTGATTTGATGTACATAAATGCTTACACATATTATGCGCGCATTAATAAATTATATTGATGATTCAAACATTATGTAGCTGGCGATAAATTTATTAACTCTTTCACTATACTCACAAATTCAATGCGTACTCGTAAATGTAAGACGTATTTAATTCATAATTTATTCATTTTTTTTAAACGTAAAGTTCACATAACGTTTTCGTGCATACTTTAATTTAAATAAAGTTTATTGTTTTGGAATCCCCTATATATTCCAATGAAAGACATCATATTATGTAAATATTGTATATGGGTGTGTTAATTTAAAAATATATTTGAATTAAGTATAGTTTGTAGCTTCTGGGGAAAAACATTACTTGCATAATAAAATTATTTGTATATTAACAGAATACTTACTTTACTTTTTTAATTTTATAAGGTCAAGTGTATAGATGACATCATATTTGAATTTAAGATAAATTTTTTATTGAAAAATGAATAAAATGCTTTATTAAATTAATATCAATAACGATATTCTTATAAAATATACGATTTACGCTTTATTAAGTTATTCAATTATTTTAAAAGAATTTATTTTGTCTTAATATTCTGAGACATGAATTTAATTGCATGCACTAGCAGTTTTAACCATATTATAATAAATGTGAATTTTATTCTGATCTTAAATACAAGTTTAATAGAGAAAATTGAACTTTTTTTACAAATATGTAGGAAATTAATTAAATTTGATCGGAATATAATATGATTCATATCTGAGTATACGATGTAATGGAATGAATGACTCATTAATTTAATTTATTTCAATTAGAACAAAACAATTTTATGCGCCATGTAAAATGTACAGAATTGTAAAACTATATATATTTTTTTTAATATTTATCTTATATATACTTGTATAATTTAATTATTTTTTTTAAAATTTTTATTTTTTTGTTTTATTTTATTTCAGCAAAATTAGCGATATTAATATTCGCTGTTTGCCTTGTTGCTTATGCAACTGCAGCTGGAGGTAATTTTAATATTTTTAATTTTTTAAAAATATTTTAAAATATTCATATATTCAGATATATACTCGTATGTACATATTCATATATTATAATTATATAACATTTGCAAAATATTATGGAAACTTTGTTTATCAGTTCGACATATTATGAATAATGGAAGGGAGACATAATTTTGAACTATTATTGTAAATTTTTTTTTAAACATTTAAGAAAGAAAATTTGTAAAAAAATCATTTGCTATTTTTTGGAATAACTCCTAAACCTTTGCGTATATAGGGCAATGACTAATATACCAAATAACAAAGTTCAATTAACAGGGCTGCAGCTGTTCTAAAACTAACTGTAATCTGTTGAAAACTGTAATATTAAGTCACAGAAAAAAATTAACGTTCTAAATCAAAATTTAAAAATTGAAATTATTTGAACTTTATGATTCCGAAATTCGAAAAGGTTTTAACCAATGCAGATAATCATGAGAAAGCCCTTGCTTCCAAATCATATATAATCATATTTGACACAGGAACGGAGTCATACTAAAAAATTGTCGAGATTGACTTAAAGTTGTTGTGGCTCGAAATATGTTGAACTATGAACATTGTCTCCATGTAAAAATTGTACCTTTCAACCAGGGTCTATACAATAGTATATAATCTTGGATACGAGACACAAATCTAATTGTTGTGCACTAATAATGTGCACTAGTGACTTAAACTTTAAAAAATTTTCAAAAATTTCCAAATCAATAGTATGATTTTGTTAGGTTTTCTTTTTAAATAAAGAAGATGACACAATTTTTTTTTTTTTTAATTTTAGTCTTGAAATATTTTAAGGCTATAGTTAAATGTTATAATTGAACGTCTTTATAAGTCTTAAAAGCGTGAAATTAATTAAATTATTATTTCACTTTTAATTAAAGAAGAAAATCATGACTTTATTATATATGTACATAGCATTAAGAGAAATGTTCTCATTCTCAATTGGAATAACTGGACAATTTCGCGTTCATTGTATACATACATATAAATGTGCCTATATACTGACTTTTATTGTTAATATGAAAACATATACTATTGTGTATGATAATATTATGATTTATTTTTCATTATTTTTTTTTTTCTAAAATTTTATAGATTGTCCATCATATTCTAAAGTACAAACATGTACACCAAAATGTGTACAAGATAGTGATTGTAGTGCTATTGCCGGTAAATGTTGTCCAAATTTATGTAATGCAAGATCATGTGTACAACCGAATGCATTAAATAAAGATGGTAATACAGCAAGTAATAAATATGGTGGTGGTGGTTCATCATATTGTGGCAATGTTAAATGTCAAAATGGTGAAAAATGTGATCAAGATAAAGCAACAAAACGACCAAAATGTGTCAGAGCATAAATGAAGTTTATAAATTTTTTTTAATTGTTTTTTTCTTATTATTATAATTTGGACGGAATTATTTAATAATTTTATATAAGTTTTTTTCTTTTTCTATAATATATTTTTTTTATATTTTAATAACATAAATTTAAAAAAAAAATAAATAAAAACAGAGTCAATAATTGTTTATATATTATATGTACTTTTAGTTTAAAAAACAAACTTTGAGATTTAGTTTTTTATTTTATTAATTTTTTTTTTTGTGAAATTGCAGAGAAATCATTCGAATTTTAGGTAATGTATGAAAGTTAATGGTTAAAATGAAAATTTAATGCTTCCCTCAGAAGATTTTATGCATATATATACAACCTTACAATATTGTGCCGTATAAATATTTTTAATATCGTATTTAAAAAGTAAATGATTTGTAATTGGAATTCTTCTACAATTATAACATTTTAATTCATGATTATCGAATTGAATTAAAAAATTTCAGGATCACAAATTATTTTGTTATATTATAATATCGGAATTTATTATAATTAGGACCAGAACAAAGATCAGAGAATGATTTACAATAACAGTAAGATTCGAACATCTTCACTTTAAAATAAAATTTTACTAATTTCTTTAGTTAAATTACCTAAATTTAATCCTTTAATTCTCAGAACCTTTAATAATGAAATTTTGAGATATTTAAATCGAATTTTAATCATCTGTATAACTATATACCGAAATTTACATATTCTTTACAGTAAAAACTCTATAAATTTTCCTGTATAATTTGATTTTTTAGCTTCTTTTCCTTTAATAAACTCTTAAACAAAATTACATTGTTATTCTTGAACACTTAAAGTATCTTTATACATACATATTATACTATGGAATATGTATAATATATATGTATAAAGAAAATAGCATATCGAACATCAATTACTTTTATTTCCATTTCATTTAATAAATTTAAGATCCTGGATATACCTTATAAAATAAAATAATTTTTAAAATGGATTCTTTATGGTATATGTAATTATTAAGTCAATTAAAATGTGCAATAGCGCATAAGGATATCTTTTTAATTTTATTTCTTATTATATAGAGTTAATTATCATGAAAATCGAATAAAAATAAATTGAAGTAAGTAAAACATTTTTTTTATCCTTATTTTTTTGTTTTTTTCTTTTATAAAATCCAAATTAAGATAAACTCTGTATAATTTTACGATTTATAATTATTAATATTGTGCAATGCCACTAAGGAATGAAAATTAATATGTTATTTTTACATTTCATGCACACAATATATATATAGTTGTATTTTTGCTGTTATACACTTTAAATTATAACAGAAATTAATTATATATATTGCAATTATTTCAGAAATTAATTATATATAATTGTAATAAGTGATGTGGGATGTTGTTTAATTATTATATTGGGAAAAAGTAGAAAAATATATTGAAGAGCTACCTAAGAGTTTTGAAAATTATATCTTTAAAATTTAGAGATTATTCTTCTTGTTTTCCTTTTTCGATTTAATTGACTTTAATTATGTGTGAGTGTTTGTGTATATACGAGTATAATTTAATTAATTTAGATTATGTTCGAATGCTGTATGAAAAAATTGTGCATATATAAGTTGTGTTCTATTTGAAATAGTGAAAATTTGTTGATATTTTAAAAATAGATTTAGAAGTATGTATGCGTATATATTGAAAAATGTTAGAGAAGTGTTCGGAAATATTAAATATTATGTTGGATTTCTTATTATTTCAAGGTTATAAATAAATAATATTAAAAGATATCCTCCAAATGTGACCCTTGAAGTACTACATTCACATAATTAAAACAATTTAAAATATGAGTTCTAATCATGTGTCTTGCATTTGTTGCCCTTTTCAGTATGGTCTACCTAGACAATCATGCTTTATAATTGATTAAAATAATAGATAAATAGGTTGAGTACTGGTAGGAGCCACATGTTATTACCTCCCTTTGTTCTTACTAATATATGAATGGGTTTGTAGCTTTTAAAAAATGTTCTTTCTTTTGGCATGGGTCACGGCCTCATATATCTTCTTTTATTTCAGACAAATTCGGAGCAAAAAAAAAAGACCTATAAACCTTGTTTTGCAATTTTTTTTTCTTGATTGTCAATTTTTGGTATATGACTCTTTTCAGAATTCGGAAATTATTATTTATTTGTGTTTATAGCATTTATATTCATAATGCGGTTTTTATTGTGGAAGCATATCAGAGAGGAAAATGTTAAACAGGAAAAGGTTGATTCCTCAGTCAAATGCAATAAATAATTATATATGTGATATTTAATGAAAAGTGAATAATTGTTAATTAAAACTATATAACTGGGTATTAGTATTATGCCGAAATACAAAACATAATTGCACATATTAAATTCTAGAACGATTAATATTTCTTAATAGTGCATAATATTTTGTATTCCATGGATATTTAAGAATTTTAATTTTAATAAAATAACTTCGATAACTAAACTGGTTATATACTGTTAGATTTTAAAATGGCGTGATGATACACCGCAACCTAAAAGATCTATTATGTCCTCCCCACCACGAACGCCCAGTACAATCCTCTCGGATTATACAATTTGACATATGAATTTAAAATTACTAATATCATTTATAAAACTGTTAAGAAATTAATTTAATAATGGCAAATACTACATTTTAAATTTTCCAATTTTTTCCTCAAAATATTGTTAGTATTCTCATATAATTATCAATATTCTGTTAGTCATGTATGACTTGAGGTAATAACATGTTATTGGAATGTATTTTAGGTTCCAGTACAACATTTCAAATTTTCAAAATGATTTTTATTCAGTAAATTACAAAAATTATTGAATAACAGAAGGGTACTAATAACAGTGGTACTAACAGAATGTAAGTGAACAAATTTTGTGTTATTAAACTTCAAATCAATTAAATTGTACATTTTCTAATATTATAATATAGGATTTTCTATTATCATAACAAAATCAGTATGTTTAAATCATTTTAATTGCAAATAAAATTCTAATTTTATAATTTTAGAATTAAATGACTAAATGTAATTAATTTTTAATTATTTTCAATAGGAATTTCATTTTAAATACAAAAATATATATTTATATGTAGTGTATATATTTTTAATTACAAATTAAATGATTTATTTTATATAGATTTTTTTTTACCTTTACCTTTTTAATGTCAACTGGCGAACATATTGCTGAACCAATTAGAACTGTTATTAAAATTAATCGAAACATATTTTTTTTTTTTTTATTTTTTTCAATTCACACAACTAATTTATTATTGATTATTAAAGAAATGAGATTATTCACAAAAAAAAAAAAAAGAGGAAAATTTTAATAAAAATTATTTATTAATTTAAAATAAAAATTAATTTTTAATTATGATTATTCAATATTTGTTTTTTTTTTCAAAATAAACAAATAAACTAATTAACTCGTAATTATTTTTTTGCTTTTATCTTTCTATTAAAATTTTTGAAAATATCCACACCTTTATTGGTTAAATATAATAAATTAACTATGGTAATTTGAAATTAATTTAGGTCTATTTATATTAATTTGTTTTTAAATATATAACAAAAAAATAAACAAAATTTAAATTAACTGGTTTTTGTTATTTTAGTTTGGTTATTTTTTCCAAAAAAATTTTTACCACTAAAAACACAAAAAAAAAAGTGCATAGTTAAATAATGCATAATATATTGGCATAGGATTAACATAACATAAGACTAGTATAAAATTAATTGATAATATACAGAGTGTCCAGTATTTTTAAGCAGTATCATATACTATATTGCTCAATTATTTGTGCACTCTGAAACGAGAATACTCTGAAAAAAATACCACTCTGAAAAAATACAACGCGTCTGCCTTAGAAACGGTAGGTCACAGGTTCGAGTCTATTTCGAGAAATATTATTTAATTTTTCTGCTCTGATTCGTTCCTTGGATTATGTCATCTACGAGTATGTGTTTAGCAGTTGTATGAAGAAATTTCCATTAGAATAGAATTATAAATTCCCCTCATGTAACAAGGGAGATATAATCATGGTGATACTTCAAGTTAAAACTAACCTTGATATTTTCTTCTTACGACTATAAGCAATATAAAGTTTATTCTCCCATTTTATAAAACATAAAACTAATACAAAATTTCTATCACTGTTAAAATATAAATAATCTTTCACCATTAAATAATACTCCCTTTTTTTGAAAAACATTTCTTTATTTAACATTTAGCAATTATGAAAAATTCCCTTCTTTGCTGATCTGTTAAATAAAAAAAACTGACAATTTACGCAGAAGCGGATCTCATTGAATTAAAATTCTAGCACATCTACGAACAAATCAAAAAACTTTCTTGCATTTACAATTGAGGCGCCGCGAACATTAGTAGCCATTATCATGGTATGTTCAATAAAGCAGAAATTACCTACAGAATTGTTCTATATATTGAAATTACTTAATTTACTCCTCTTTTTACACTATTTTGACATAAGTTCGTTTTTCTTTTTAAAAATTTCTTTAAAAATTAAATATTTTCAATCGCAATTTACTCGAAATGTCATTTTTACAAGTAGACCACTAATGTGGCTGAGTGTCTCACTTGTACATTTAACTATGTATACATAGAAAAATTATTTTCATATTAACAGTAATAGAATAAGGCTAAAATTGAGTGTATATCCGGTCACTTTGCGCTTAAAAATTCTTATTATTTAACCGATTGTTTAATTAAATGTGGTTCATATAATTGAATTACCCAATTAATTAAATAGTAAATTGTGCAATTTTCTCTAACAATTTGAGTTGTTGTTGTTCATGAAAGCCTAAAGAGAATTACATATATTCTATCAACTGAACACCTTGTACACTCACAACAATAATTTTAAATGTAATGAGAAATGTTTTCTTTTTTTTTTTGTTTTTGGTCAAGTTATTGTTTTTTTTTATAATTTAAAACTAATATTCAAGTGCATTACATACATATATTATAATATTTCAGTTGAATTTTATTCTAATTAGTGTACATTATTATTATTCATTTAAAATGAAATAGATACAACAATATTTTTTGTGTTAATAATGAAATTGTTGAATTTTTTTTTTGTATGCATATTATACACGTTAGTACATAAGTAATATATTACATGATTTACCGATATATGCGGC